ATTGAATCTAAATATGTGAATTGAAGAGCTGTACTAGTTTTTTTACGAAGTTTTTTCGAATTTCTACAACAACCTATGCGAGAAGACTAATACAAAAGGAAACCTTTAAAAAATATGGTAATGTAGCACTTCGTTATGAAGGCCTTTTAATGCTATACAACACTTTCCCAAATTATGCATTTAAAGACTGATCTTGTCTCATCTAAATACTCAAAATATTACATCAGAAAAGGTTAATGGATCTTTATTTCGCAGGATTGTAAATTAATAATATTGTCTGATCCCAAAAGGCTTGCAATATCTGTCCAGTTACTGCCTTCTACAATTACGGATTAAAGTTCATGTCATAAAATCTTTAATAAAATAATGTATATAGTATAAAAATTTAACCAAACCGTATAGTTGTCTGGATCAAGCGTAATATATTATGCGTATATGATAATTGCAATATAATAAACTTACCTATACCTCTTTTTTTTCAAGTTGTATATGGATGCGGTGTTTTATATACTCAATGGATTATCATTATTTTTTTTTTTTGCTTTTTACTTCTAAACATACAACACATAACCTAACAAACACTTAGCATAAATATACTCGCATATATATATACGATATTTTGACATGTTTACAAAATAAAAGTTCAAAGGAGAAACCCTAGGGGTTTTTATTAATTATTATTATTATTATAAAAATCTATATGGATTTGAATATGTACATATGCACATTAGCTGTATAACAGAATATAAGAAAAGAAAAAACGAAAACACTTATTACCCCATGTTACGACTACACAGGTATATTTTATAATTATTTAACGTGTGTATATACTAATCATTACCCTACATTTGTGTCATATAAAATATATGTATCTCTACTACTATATATGTATATGTATACATGTATGTATGTATTAATTTTCATGTCTTTATTATTATTATTTTCATTGTTAATGTGAATTTTTCAAATTATAATAATTATCTATCCAATTTTCACAATATCTAGCTTAACATATAAATTTAATAAATATATATATATATCCTGAAAAAAATAATGTATCCTGAAAAAAATAAATATATATATAGAATATAACATATAGAATATTATTATATGTACAAACGTTTATATAACAATGTTTAAATGAAAATTACTATTAGGAATTTAATTAAGGACACTAAATATTCTTACGTAAAATGTTAAACAAGAATGTAGAATTGGAGTAGAAAAAGAAGAAATATGAACTATGACCAGAGTTTCTCAAAATCCATGACAATACAATTACAAATATTAATATAGGAAATGGCAAATTTTTGCATTAATATTTAGAAACAAAAATTTAAAAGTTATGCAAGTACTACACACATAATAAAACTAAAATAGTCAGTTCAAATTCATTTTATTACAATAGATAATATACTAGTAATACACTTACATTTTATATTAAGATTTTAAGTCCAAATGGCTTTTATGTTGTTCATTCTCCTTAACTAACTTATCTGCCCTGTCTTTAAGTTAATTAGTCAAACTAAAAACTTATTAAATTTTAATTTTCATTTACATTGTCCCCGACCGCATTTGTGGTCCTGACCCCTACCCCGTTTGAGGATCACTGCAATAAACTAAAATGGTAATATAGTGAGAAAACTGTAAATAAAGCTGTGAAAATCGAGAAATTTCATAATGAAATTAATTAAAAAATTCTTTTAAAGTTTATTACGATTGAATTATATTGTTAAATGATTTATAAACTGAAATTACTCTACTAAATAATTCACTATGCAAAGAATCCAATAATTAAATGTAAAATTTTGGAACGGGCAATCATTTTAATTATTTGTCACCATAATTATTACGTTATTTAATTATTAAATTTTATGTTTAAAAAAATGCTTTGAAATCTAACAACCTTCAATTAATTTCAACAATATTATAAGTCAGTAAAAAGAATTCTTAATTGAAATAAAATTAATTAATAAACTCTTTATGCATTATTTATCTTTATGCATAATTTTAATTAATATGGAAAATTTGTTACAAAACCATAAATTTTGTAATATACTATTATCAAGTTCTAACAAACATTCAAAAATAATTTTGCCACTATGAAATTTCATTCAAATTTAAAGTACATTATTTACTGTATCCTACTAGGTGTAAACATCTAGTAGGATATAGTAAATAATTGATATAGAATATTATGAACGAATTCTTTTCACATAATTCCTTAATAATAAATAGCTTTAATATTATATTATTATAATAAATTGAAGAGCTAGCTATTAAAACAATGAAAAATCGAAACTGCCTTTTTTGTTAGGACAGGGGAGGAGTGAAACCCATATTTCCTTTTCCAAGAAAAACTTTCATATAGACATTAAATCCTTAAAGAAATTTTATTTTTAAATTTCCTTCCCATATATTTCATTTGATGTTATTTACTAAAAATTATATTAGCCCGCTCTATATTGGTTTCATATTTCTAATACATACGTAAAATATTAAAAACTTTTGCAACAAGTGTTAAAAATAAATAAAATTCCAAAATATTTGCAAAACTAAAGTCATTTTATTATAATTTTGATTATGTATACCAAAAGTATATACTATTTTATATACGCAATAAAGAACTTTAAAAAATATATATGTGTGTAATTAATATTATTATATACAATAACATACTTAAATAGAAAACAGATTTTTATACAACTATAAATATTGCATACATTTTGGCGTAATTAATTGCAAACATCTTTATTACGTTTAATTCATATACAAATAATATCATTGGCGGCGAGATTTTACGTCAAATTGGCGGGTTTCTATTTAACATTTTGTATTTAAAGGAAAAATTGAAACTGTAACCTTTATTTATTAAAAAAAATAGAGTAAAAAAAATTAGCATAATAAGTAATAATAATTATTTTTAATTTTTAAATATTAAATGTAAATTTTCAATAGTTATATTTAGACTAACCATAAAAAAAAAAAAACAAGAAAAATAATAACATAGGTAAAAATTTCTAAAACATTTAAAAATAATTTCCACTTTACATAAAATCTGCAAAGCTTTTTAATTTCTTTTGTTATTAGAACTTATACAGAAAAAGAGAGCGAGAAATATTTCTCTCCGTACGACGGCGTATGAATAAGTTGATTATAGTAGGTAAAATTTAGTTATGGGTTGCCAAATTAATTCAAATTTTAATTTTTAAGATTTAAAATTTCAAATATTTTGTTAGAATATTTTGTACATTTTTAATATTAAAAGGAATTTTTAATAGATTAAGTAATTAATTAGAAAATTAAAATATTTAAACATAAAATCAAATGTTAAATTTTTTAAAATTTAGTATTAATTTGTTATAACGTGAAAATTATAACAGAAAATCGAAATATATATGGTAAATATATGAAAATATAGAAACAACAACAATATTGTTAATTTATTTTAAATATTAAATATTCTAAATGAAGTAAAATATAAAATGTTATAAAATATTTTAAAGAACATTAAATTTCCATAAAATTAATATTAATAATTTTAATTCTGTACCCCGTATATATAAAAATCAAATAAGTGAGATTTCAGTTTAAGTCTAAGACTGAAAAATATTTAAAATTTTAATAAATTTTCCGGAAAAATTAAAAATTAAAACAACTAGACTGTAAATCTCTAAATATTATTCAATTAAATATTCTCATTTCTCTCTATACTCTTTCTCTTTTCTTTTTTGTCATTATCATTTTATATGACAATATCACTATAATGAATTATTGTTCTCATCCAAAATATATAGGTTGAATTTTCATATTCAACTATATACTACATTCATACACACTATAAATATGAAATACATTCTAACAAATACACAATAAGCGTTATAACGCCAAACCTAAATAATATAATATTTTATACAAAAATATTAAAGAGAAACAGAAAACAAATCTGTTGAATGTTTCTCTGTTTTCATTAATTTTCTATATATGTACATGCATATATCTGTTAAATAGTATATAATATAAGAAGAATTTTCTCATTATAAGAATAACTGTGCAGAATATGATGCGAATAACAAAAAAAAAATACAAAAAAATTTTCCGGATTTTTGTTTATATTCGTATAATTGTATCGTATTATTTAATATTAGCTCTCATATTCTTATTGTATAGTGTGATATTTTTTCTCTATTTTTACTCTCCTACAATTTTATTGTAAATTTTGTATAACATCTGTATAAATATGATTAAAAGCGTTAATAGAATATACGTATACAGAAATAAATTTACATGTTTTGTAATGTTATAATTATGTACAAGAGTGTGTACGTATATAAAATTTAAACTTTTATACAAAATTTAATCTGCAAAATAAAAGTGGAACATGTGAATTTATTTTGTTTTTCTTTTTATTTAAATTATAACTTTTTACGTATATACTCTTGTGTATGTACATATTGCATTGTAATATGAAAAAAAAAACTAGTTAAAGTTTTTGACCTATAAAATTCAGTCTCTCGGTGAGCCTTAAATCGGTAAGAAGTAAAAAATTTTAAATCGGACACGTTCTAAATTGAAGAAAAAATAAAAAAAAAAGTGTAAAAGAAAAATAAATTGAATACATAGAAAAAAAAAATTGTTTTTTTTTTTTTTCAAATTTTGTTTCTTATCCTTTTCTAGGATATAAAAATATACAATTGTATTTACATATTGTGTGTATTTTTTACATGTGAATATAAAATTATTTTTCATTTGTTTTCATATTATTTTTTTTTTACATTTGGCACAATAAGTTATTGTATATAAAATAGGAGACAAAAAACAACATAATCGCAATTTACATTGAAACTTTTAATAATTTAACTAAAATATTTTATACACATGTACATACATAATATAATATATTGTCATAATATAATATAAACGTATTTATTCAAGCAGAGGCAAAAATTTTTTTTACTATTAAATATTGGTTTGTAAAAAATAATAATAATTTGTAGTGATGTTTTTAGCACAAGAAAAATAAATAAATAAATGAATAAAATTTTAAATAATGAAAATGCCCAGCTTACACAAATATCCTTTTTGACAATATTATAAGTAGTTGAATTAATAATGTGTGTATTTTAAATATTATACTAGTATAATTAATTTAACAATATTCATATTAAAATTTTAATAAATTGTGAAAGAGAAAAAAATTATTGAATAAATAAATTAAATACAAAACAGGGATTATGTACCTATACTCTGATATTTTTATATAGAATAAATAATGTTTTAAATAAATAATAATTTTTGCAACAAATTTAACATTTTTAGAGCATAATTTAATTTTTCCCTCTATTTATATTCAAACAATTAAACAATATTATAGTATAAATTTTATCCTTTTTCAAAAATACAAAAAAAATTTAAAATGTATTTAAATAATTGGAATACAAAAATTACAAGAAATATATTTTGAAAAATTTAATTATAAATTAAATATAATTTTATTTAATATTAATAAACCAAATTTTTAAATTTGAATAAATTTTTAATATAGAAATATAAAAATATCATTAAATGAATACTCGTCCAATTGAATATACAAAATTATTTTAAATTTTTTAATAAAATTTATTAATTTCCTATTATTTAAGAACATTTTGTTAGTGTTACTGCTTTTATTAATTTCTTTCTATACATTTGCATTATATGAATAAAATTAAAGGACATTATTTTATTAAGATTAATTTAAAATAAAACCTGAAAATGAAAATAAATTATAAATAAAAATAAATTATAATAACAAAATTATTATAGATATTAAAAAAATTTAGTTGATGAATCCAAAAACAATAATATAATTTTCAATATTTTCACATAGAAATGAAAATTATTTCGCAATTTTTTCGAAATTTATTAACATTGCTGTTAATGGTTTAGAAAAATTACAAAAGAAAAATTTATTTTGATTTTACTAAACATAATATTCTTTAATTTCCTCATTCAGAAATCCTCAGAAAACTGTGATTACTGCCTAGATGAAAATTTGTTAAAGATTAAAATATTCTAAATGTCTTCCTTTCTTTTTTCCATATTTCAAGTATAAAAAACCAACATATTTTGAACAGATGTTTTTTTGCACAAAGCAATATAATTTAAAATATCCGAGCATAGTTTAATTTTGAATAATAAAGGAAAATTATTAAAATTATATTATAAGTATTCGATCAATTATTGTTTGAAGTACCCAATCGTAAGCCCAAAATTTTATTATGGAATGAAATTAATAATAAGAAAATATGTAATTATATTTTCATATATAAAACGCCTACGAACAATTTACTTCTAATTTCTCAGCATTTTGCAATTGTTCTGATTGAATTTCCATACAAAGAACAATCGGGAAACAAAATTATGTTTTTTTGTTATTTTATCATTAATAAATTTTAAGAATCCTTTAAAATTTTAAAATGCACAATTTTTTTTAAACAAAATCTTAAAATTATATTTGAATAACCTTGAAAGCAGTTTTTATAGTTTTGTAGCCAAGAAACAAAAAAGGGTTTATTGTTATTACTTATGTCATTCATGTTCTAATTTTTTAAAAGCAAATTCACTAAACATATATTTGAATAAATGTCTCAGAATTTTTTGCGTGATTTTATTTTTCATATTATTATAAATTAAATATTTCAGGCATTTACTTCATTTTCAACGTTAATTACACTTTATTATTTTAGCTTTTATTATAGTGCATTAAATTTTTTACTTAGTTTATCTTAAGAAATTTCACAGCTCTCACAAGATCATCAACTACGTAATATATGACTCAAAAACTTTTCAATTATAATTAATTATTTTTAAACATGTTTTAAGTAAAATTTCTTATTTTTAAAATTTATTCAAAATTCAAATTACACTGTTATTCGTATAATAAAATAACTATTTATAATAATAAAATATTTTTATACAATTTTTATTATCTTCTTCATATTTTTATTAAAATTAATTTCAGATGCGCAACAAAAGTAAATATTAAAAACACTGACTTGCAATGCTATAAGTAAAACATGTGGGGCATCTATAATGTTGTACAATTATTCAATTAATATTATTTAACTTTATAAAATCTGATATTTTAATATAAATAAATTGTGTATAATTTAAAAATATACATATTGTGTATATGAATTTCAAGTTCTATCGTAGAACATTTTAAGAAAATTTAAATTATAAATTCAAACGCAAAAAAAAAAAAGAAATGTGTTAAGTACCTAAATACGCAAAAATTTCAGATTATACAAGTGAAAAATAAATTCTTAAAAATTTTTATATCAAAATTAATGATAAAAGATTTTTATTTATTGTTTTCTAGATGCAAAAGAAAACGTGAACTCAATTGTTAAAAAAATACAGTGAAAATTGATTTATTTACAAATGTAGTGCACCTAGAAGTATGCAAAATTAATGTATTTATATTTTCTCTAAGGAAATTCAAAGAAAATCAATAAAAATCAATTGCTAATTGCAAAATATTAAAATTTAAAATAATTTAATTAAAAAATTAAAAAAACAAAGAAAATTATTTCAATAAAACAAGACGAAAAATTTTTAAAAAATAATAATGATCACAAAAATATGAAAAAATAATAATGATGAAACCGAAATAAAAAGTAAGTAAGAAATTAAAATATTAAAAGAATTTTTAAAATATTAAAAAAGAAAAATTATATTTAATTTTTAATTATTTAATAAATTTTTATAATTTTTTAACAAATTTATAATTTATATGTGTACGTACATGTGTCATTGAAAATTATAGGCATATTTTATATATTGTAGGTTTTTCATGACAAAATGAAATCACAATACAAAATACAAAAAGAAATATATGAACAATACAAATATAAATGAAAGAAAACCAAAAATAACAAAAACAAAAATTTTCTTTTTTAATCAAAAAAAAAATTTTTTTTGGATCCTTTTAATTTTTCTTGTACTTTTTTTCTCCTCTTGTTATCTTTTTTTTTCTTATTATTATTATTCGCCTTTAATATCCATATTAGATGTATATATATATAATATAAATGATTAAATATTATACAAGTACCTACCTAGCTCTGTTTTTTATATTGCAGGTTATTCATATATTAAAATTTATATTTTATTAAAGATAACAAAAAAAAATTGTCAATATAATGTATATGTGTATGTATGTACCATTAATGTATGCTAAATAAAATTTATTCATATACATACATACGAACATTATGTACAGGGAGTTAAATTAATAAATTAATCCTTGATCTTGAATTTGAGATCTTGAATTAATAATAAAAAAAAATAATCATATTTTGTACAGTCCGGAACATGACCATTTAAGAACCAAACAAAATAATAAGAACAACACTGATTTAGTTGATAATGAATGTTTTCATTTATTATTTCTTAAAATATTTGATGGATGACGAGGCCATAAAGGTTATCTGTGACATTTTTAAAAACATGTAAATGATATTATATAAAATATGATTCTGAACACTAGACTTAAAATTGTTCAATTTTAACTTTTAATTAAAAAAAAAAAATAAATTAATAATTATGATAATTTAAACGATTCACAAATTGGAACCCTAATCTGATAAAATTCTAGTATATTAAAAAATTGCATTTAAATTCCATTAGAATAAATTTTAATGAGAAAATAAGCCCCGTATTTCCGATTTTCATAGATGCTAGACAGTAATGCTAGACAAGTTAACTGAATCGTACCCAAAGATAACAAATTTTAATAGCACAACTGTATCTAAATAAACTAAATTTAAAGAAATACATTTGAATTTTAATTTAGTCAACATGTTCACCCTTTAACACAATTGCTAAATTTAAAATTCCAAAATTACTAAAATTTATTGTAAAATTCTTATTAATTTTTACCAATTTTTATTGTGCGCCATCACCATGTCCAAGAATAACAATATTTGGTAAAAGAAAAATTCTTTTGTTTACACATTTTCCGACCTTTTTCCTTTTTTTTTTTGTCTTTTTTTTTGTTGCTATTTGATTTTTTTCTTTATTTTCTCTCGTTTTTTTCCTAAATTATAATTTTGACGAGATAAAGAGTTTGGTTTCATTTTCCTTTGCGTTTTTTTTTTTGTTCTTTTTTCCCAAAAATTCCTTTTTTTTTATAATATGTAGGTATAATTATTGTTGGATATAATTAAATTAATTTTTTGTATAAAAATTATCAAAATAAAAATAAAAAAAGGAGAAAAGTACAAAGAATAGTAAGTCCCCTGGTCAGAAAGAAAAAAAAAGGAGTTATTTTTTTAATTATAATAATTAAATTGTGGGGAAATGGAAATGTAGAATTTCAAATAAAATAAAATTTCCTTTCAGTAGGTATTTTATTAATATTTCTTTTAATATAAATGAAAAATGTTCACAATATTTTCCTTTAATAATAAAATATGAGTTATTTACATAACCCAAATAAAATATTTATGAATAAAATATTTCAATTAAAAATTTTCATGTTGAATAATTTTAAGAAAAATATTTAATATATCAAAAATTATTATTAAATGAATGCAACAAAATTTTATTTTTAAATAAATACACAAAGTGGGAAACTAAAATTAACAGTCTGAATTGTTGATTTAACAATAATGTTAGAGAACTAAAATAATTACTCAATTTTATTAAAATTTCGTTATATAACTGTTATAATGCAACAAATTAGCATTAATTAGACTAAAACTCTTTTATATCAAAAACCATGTGAATCTCTTAAGAAAAAATAATTGTAGTACCTTCACGACAGAAAAACTACTACTGAAATTTAATTCTACGCACCTCCAACAAAAACCTAATCAAATCAAAAATTTTTACCGCCGAACATCGTTTAATTCGTTAAAGTTCTAAAAATTACTAATGTCAAATAAAAGAATAAATACTTTCAAATGTTTTATTGTCAGGCATTACGTCACTGTAAGATGCTTGAAATTCATGGATTTTGGAATAGCTTAATATTCAATTTTGTGAAATAAAGCCTTCTTTTTATGATCGTCTGTTTTTTATTTACTTAAACGGTAGATTCTTGGTCTTGAATCTAGTATACAATATTTCTGATAAAAATTATTAGGTTTCACAAAAACAAGTTTTCCAAGAGTTTACTTAAAGCAAAGCTTATTCAAACAATTTTATTCCGTAAATTAATTCAAAATTGAATACATTACTTTTAAAATTTTCGAATTATAAATTCGACGACGTAGATTTAAGTAAACATTAATTTACCTTTTCACTTGACGTACGAACCCCAGGTATTTATTTCATTAACTGAAATTCTATAACAATATTAAAAACTATAGAGTTTACAATGATGCTCTCAATTTTATAAAAATTGCATTCCAACGACTTTATAAATATAGCAGGAGGCTATAACAATAATGTATGTGTATATAGAAGTTTAAAAATATTTTTAAACAAATTAAGACAAAAACAACAAAAAAAAAATGAAAAATTTGTAGAAGAAAAATTTGCTCAAATTTAATTTTATTGATTTTTCCTTTCTGTACTTGCTATATAAATTCCCCAGGTGTATTGTTTTTGAAATTATAATGTGAAAAACATTATTTTAGTAAATAAATTCTTCTTAACTTTTATTTATATTTCAATCATCTCAAGTATAAAAAAAAAAGTAATCATTACGCAAAAATAATACGAAAGCAAAAAAAAAAAAACAAAACCCCCATTATTTATTTTGAAAAGTTTACAAAGTATTGATTACATTTCAAATAAATGTTGAAAATATTTTAGATTTTAGAACATTTTAATAGCTAAATCGAAAGATTTTTTATTTCAATTTGAATTTGTGAATTTGGGATTCATTTTAATTGGAATCATTGGTATTGAATTTTTGATTTTAAATCATTTTAATTGAATATAAGAAAATTTTGCCAACGCAATAATTTTAAATTGATTTTGTATTATGTAATATGGCTAAAACGGATATTTCTAAATTTAAAGAAGAAAATTTTGAATACATTTAATATCCCGCAGAGGCAATTTACTTCAATTACAAAACCTCCAATCGTACAAATTTGAAGCGATAGTGAAATTGAGAAAAATTTTAACTCTGTTTTAAATAAAATTACACTTTAAATACAGCCGAAATAAATTTTTTTTTTTCACAAAATGTTGCATACTTTTAGGGGTTCATATATTATCTTTGCGTACAATCTCATTTTTGTACTTTTGACACAATCTTACTGTGATTTATTAAATTTTTTATCAAAATATTTATGCAATTTACGTAATCTTAAAATTTTTTGTTTAATTTACTTTTCGCTTTGCGATTTCGCGTCAAAAAAAGTTTTGTGTATTTAGTGATCACATGTGTACGGTTATTTTTCTCACACGTTCTCTTTTAATCACACACATTTCTTGCCATCTTAATATTATTTTTCTAACTTCACCGCCCATTTTAAGTATATGCATAATAAAATAAAATTATTAAGAAAAAAAAATGTAATTAAAAAACTTTATCACTTACTTTGAAAAAAAGAAAAATAAAGAAAAAAAAAGCAAAGCAAATAAAAATCAAAATATAAGTGAAAATTTCAGTCCTTAAAAAATGTTTTGAATCTTAATGAGAAAATTATTTGAATTTTCGGGAGAAAAGAAAAACAAAAACGATATTAAAAAATTACGATTGAATATATGAAAATTAACTCAGTATGTGAATCCATATGAGACCATCATGTTTAATGAGCGTATTAAAAGATTTTTCTAAAACATTTTAAAGTAGAGGACCAAAAATTTAGCATCTCCCTTTGATGTAGATAATTAAAGAACAGTGTGATTTTATCACCATTTCTTAATGGTTATGTAATTTAATTTTTTTTTTTACCTCTATGATAAAAATTTTTATTTTGCTTATAGAATGCCAAATAAAATTGTTTTATCAGGCACTTATCTTAGAAATTTTTTCTTATACGAAAATATTTTTGAAAAAAGGAATTGGGTCTCCTACAAATAATATGATTCTATAAAATAATTGTGAATTTATTACAAATAATTGTGATTCTATAATTAATACGATTCTGTTGGTTCTCAATGCACAAATTATGGTTCTAGCGACCACAATAGAGCTAGATTTATAGTTTTTATATTTGGAATATTTTATTTTATTAATGTTTTAAGAAAAAATCCATCTTCACTGATGTTTTAATTATTAATATCTTGATTTTCATATTCTAAGCTTTTTCATTGATTAATATTAAATTTAATATTTTAAGAAAAGCCTTCAACTTTAATCATTTAAAGGAAATTTTTAAATTTTTACTTCTACATTGTTATTGCAGCAATAAAAAATGTTTTCACTGTAATTATTTTTAATTTGTATAATAGTTTGGCTACGCTTTTTCAAACTACAGCGAAAATTTAGACAAAAAAATGCAAAATCGGTATAAATTCTTAGAAATAATTTTTATAAAGAATCATTTACGATATTATTGAAATAATCAAAATATTCGAGGAATCGTAGCAATTGTCCAAAAATTTAGCAAAATTTTAATAATTTGGCAAAAAAAAAACGTTAAATTTTAAGTTATACTTTGTTAGTATAGATGCAGAGAAGTGGACGAAAATCGGGTAGAGAAAATGTAAATTT